GAGTGAGAGAGAGAGATCTGGGAGAGTGGCAAGCGAGATCTGGGAGAGGGGAATGTATATATACAATTTTCTCTCGCTTTATACAAACACAAACACACTTTATACACTTGCGTTTGTATAAAAAACGAGAGAGGCGAGGGAGAGAACGAGAGTGGCGAGCGAGATTCACCAGGAGAGAGGTGAAATAACAACATTTTGCTATGAGGTACAATTAAATCAAACTATATTTATAGCATTTAATTTGAATTAATAGTTTGCTATTATATACGATTTTCCCAAGAACGATACCACTGATTGTATATCGAAAACTACTATTATTACTTGTAATTGGAAGTGACTTCAAAGAGCGACCTCGGATAAAATTGAATAAAATATGTATATAAACAAACTAGGAATGAAATTTAGTCCAAAACTATAAATGTTGGGTATTTATAGAATATTAGCAATTTTAAAAATTTAAAATTCCCAAATACTAGAATTTAGCCAAAATTCTATTTTCTTTTTCTAGAACTTGAGATGTTTGTCAAATATATTTGTTAAGTAACGATAAATATATATATGGTCAAACACTAATTCTCAGATTTTTTTTTCCACATATATTTATGGCCAAACAAGCTCTTAATCTTCGATTACTTCCATTTTACATTATTTTCTGAGCTAATAATAATAGAAACCTCCAAACATAGAAAAAGAGCTATAGTATTTTGTTGTGCATACTCATGATCTAATCAATGTCCGTTAAAGATGCAGATTATCTGTACCAAGACACCTTTTGAAGCTTTTCTATTTTTTGGAATTGACATTGGGCCTTTCCGGCACGGGTTTAGGTGAAAGGTCAAGAGGGCCTCCTTTTGCTGATGTCTGAGTCACTGGATCCGTCACTGAATTTATTCTTATCTTATTTAATTGTTTGCTTAAATTCATTAATTTGGGATGATGTTTAATTTTTATTTCAAAGATTAATTTTTTTTCACACTTTAAATAACAAATAAATGTTTGAATATATTTTTGACATCAAAATTGTGATATAAGTTTATATGTTCGTATCAGTGAGAATGAATATCGTTCTTATCTGGCATAAGCTATATTGAAAAGGACATGCATACCTTGTTATGTCATATACGGGAGAGCAATAACTCACAAGTTATGAATTCATGAATAGCATAATAAATTATAACATAAAAAACATAACAAGTCGTGTTGTATGCTAAGTGAACATAATGAATTATTTTTTTAAAAATAAATCAAAACACAAAAAATCACACATATATTTTACCATTTTATACTAATTATCAAAATATTTTCTCTAAAAATGATAAAGATTTAGAAAATATGTCCAAAAGATGTAACTTCAATTTTTGAATATTACAACAAAATTAAAAAAAAAAAACACTACAAAACTTATGCCCGTAACTTAACCCTTATATAATTTACATCAAGCGAGACAAAAGTTTTTTAATTTATATGTATTATAGATAAAAATATTTTAATTCATAGCTTTTAATTAAATGATCAATAAGGGTGAAAATAAAAACTCATTCAATTTGAGATACCGTTCTTAATTATGATTTTCAGTTATATCCTTTAATTATATAGAGTCATTAATTGATGATTTTCGATTAGATATTTTAATTAGACACACTAATTGATATGTATATGTCTTACATGTACTTCCTCTGTTTCTTTTTAGTTGTCAGGTATACTAAAAATATTTGATCCAAAATAGTTATCAATCTAAACAATCAAGAAAGGATTCATCATCTTTTTTTAAAAAACTTTGCTCAGAACGTTAATTATTCTGGAATTAACAGGTCAAACAACACTCCTTATTAAGGCCCAAAAGGAACGAAGGAAGTATCTCTGATACATGTATTTGGAAGAGTCAGATACATATATCTAAGACCCAAAATATGAATTTAGGTACTCTAATTAAATTAGTGAGATTTGCACAAGTTATCCAATATTTTTTTATCATAATTTTATATATACCTTTTAAAAATATTTTAAAATATTAATTATTGTAATTTATAATATCTTTTATATAATTTTTGAATATATAAATTTTATTCTTAAAAATTTAAAAATTATGTTCAAATATATAAATTTTATTCTTAAAAATTTAAAAATTATGTTCAAATATATAAATTTTATTCTTAAAAATTTAAAAATTATGTTCAAATATATAAATTTTATTCTTAAAAATTTAAAAATTATGTTCAAATATATAAATTTTATTCTTAAAAATTTAAAAATTATGTTCAAATATATAAATTTTATTCTTAAAAATTTAAAAATTATGTTCAAATATATAAATTTTATTCTTAAAAATTTAAAAATTATGTTCAAATATATAAATTTTATTCTTAAAAATTTAAAAATTATGTTCAAATATATAAATTTTATTCTTAAAAATTTAAAAATTATGTTCAAATATATAAATTTTATTCTTAAAAATTTAAAAATTATGTTCAAATATATAAATTTTATTCTTAAAAATTTAAAAATTATGTTCAAATATATAAATTTTATTCTTAAAAATTTAAAAATTATGTTCAAATATATAAATTTTATTCTTAAAAATTTAAAAATTATGTTCAAATATATAAATTTTATTCTTAAAAATTTAAAAATTATGTTCAAATATATAAATTTTATTCTTAAAAATTTAAAAATTATGTTCAAATGCACAACCAAACTTTAAAATTTTGATTTTAGAAAAGTTAAAACGTGTTCAGTACGTATTAATTTATTGGTAATGCAACTCGCATATGTAGTATATTACTAGATGGGGATGCCCGTGCAACGCACGGGCCCAACATGACTATAATAAAAAATTTATTGTACAAAACTGTATAATATAATAATTATTTCTTTATATTATATGCAAAGTGTTCACCTCTAACAATCAATCCAGAGTTTGGTAGCAAAAGCATTTCAAGTTGTACTATAATATCAAAAGCATTTTAAGTTGTACTATAAGGCCTCATAATTTTGGCCCTTTGTGGCTCAATTTGATTGGGTATTAACAAGTGAAGGCTTTTTATTTCCACGTGTGAGCAATTGAGATTGCTTTGGGCTGATCTAAGGCTAAGGGTAATTAGAGCTCTTTCAATCTCTTTCAAGAGAAGGTTTAAACTGGTAAGTCTTTTGGTCTTCAGATTAAAATATTTGCTTTTCTTCTTATAAGTTTTTAGTTTTCTTAATCTTCTCACTCTTTTGTTTTGATTTTGCAGATTTTGATTTTCTTATTTTTCTCACCCCTTTTCCCCCTGATTTTCATTTCTATTGGAGGTAGATGTGTTGTCAATTTTGGATCTAATTCTTGGGTGATTTTCTGATTTTTTCTTAAAATATTGATATCCACTCACTTACCACCAATTCAAATGGGTCCATTTTTATGTTAACAATGTCTATATACTTGCAAAAATAAAGATTACCAAACTATGATACTAATGTTATTACCCAAATCAAATTTATGGATCAGATGAATTCCAAGGATTAGCTATTGAACCACCAAGACAGTGGACTAAAAATTCAACATGCAGCTCAAAGGATTGAACTATTGTGAATACATATTCTAAAGAATCGTACATTCTAATGCCATTTTTCTTCCATATCCAAGAAATTGGAGCATGTATATTGAGAGATTAATAAATGAATAACTCTACTATTATACATATAAATATATTTTCAACAGTACAATCACAAAAACCAAGTTTAGGTAATTAAATTCTTTCGCTCTTGACTATATTCTTTACACCACTGCAACAAAAGAAGAGAACGGCAAAGAGGTAAAATATTAATTTAATTGAAGCATAGTAAACATACCATAATAAACACGGCATATGTAAGGGTCATAAGTACACATATAACACAAAATATAAAATAAGAAAGCAAAAAATTAGATAAGTTAGAATGTTTAGAAAAATGTAGAGATAATTAGAAGCTTAAAACTTAACTCTTTATTTGTAGCTTCATACCATGTAGTTGGAAACAACATTTCTCAGCTGGTGTCTCCTACCTACTCGAGGTAGAGGTAAGGTCTGCGTACACTCTATCCTCATAAACCCCCTTTTCAGATCCATATTAGGTAAATGATACATATAAAATCCATTAGAAAATTAGTTACCTTAACCCTAGAATCTATTTTGCAGCAGAAATACATGAATGCAAAAAGTTATCTAGGGATACAACATGTAGATAGTCTTAAGTTAAAATGCCAAACGTTGATGGCATCAGATATCTGTAAAAAGTCATTACATTAGCCAGAAATAGATTTTAGTATTTCAAAGAATATATATATATTCATAACCGAAAGCACCAAGAAGGTGTTACAATATACAAATTAAAACAGACAGACGCATTATTGAAAGAGCAAGGGAGAAAGAGCGTCTTTACCAGCAAGGAAAAACGACATTTAAAGCCTGAAGCAACACTCTTTCTCCCTCTTTCAGTGATGCAAATCACAAAGTTTGAAAGAGAGGTCAAAAAGTTTAATGGCCAATAAGATAGGCCCAGGCAACACACCAGAATAGAACAAACACGCACCAGAAATAAGGATCAACACAGATTCTCTATTTGTATGAATGTCATCGAGATTGCTCCTAATAAAATGTCAAAAGCCTAAGTCATTTTTTTGTGTGTTCTGTCCACCCATTTTAGTACTTGCAAAGCTTGAAATTTGAAGTAGAAAATTTAAGAAGGATGAACAATGAAATTGATCAAATGATTAGAATTTCTTAGACAGTTGAAGAAGAGTGTATTTGCTTCATAAGAGTATTGACGGGAGCAAATTTTTTTGTTAAATTAATTAAGCAAAAATATCTTAAAAGGGAGTACAAAGTTGAATTTCACACGCTAATGACTACCATGGAAATTGCAATGGAGAGAGGGAGAGTAAAGCGGAAGGTGTGAGAGTCAATATGAATTGGGATATTTCCTTCTTTTTTTTGACATAAAATTCGTGCTACACGTGTACAGAAAGCAGTACACACTACACACTTAAGAAAAGCAAAAGTACACATTACACACATTAACCCTTGGTAACTTCTGATCCATAAATTACTGAACAACAAGGCATCTAAAGATATCCTACCGTGTCCGGCTTTGCAACATTGACCAACAGAGACTCGTTGCTGAAGGGGCAGTCTCTTCTCTCCAGATTACAAAGGCTTACACAACTGGAGGAGTACGTAGTGGAGGCGTGAACGGGGAAATCGTCACAATTGCCTGCAATGGTGAATGATGGCCCCAAAACCAGTGTCAAGCAGTCCAAGGGTTAGGTAATCAGGGTTGTCACATTCAGATGCAAAGATTAAAGCTTTTTTGCACCTCTAAGGACACAAGTACTCGGAAAAGGGTAATCTACAAAGAAAAATGCAAAATTTAACAAGAGATATTCTCAATTTTTTTACAAATGCAGTTACTGTATTAAGTCATTTGCAATACATGTAGTTGATGCTGGTTTTGGGGCCATTTGCAACAATGCAAGCAATTGCAGCGACTCTCTCTTTCTGGCCTCCTTGCAGATCATATTTTCAAGTACATCGGCGTCCATGCTAACAAGTTAAGAGATGTTTCCCTTATCTTTTGCGGGGAATAGAAATATAGGCCTCCACTACATGTATTCCTTAGCTTTTGCAAGGGATAGAAACATAGGCCTCCACTACGTGCTCTCTGGTTTAGTTGGCTTATACACCTACCCTTATTTTCCAATTGAACAACAAATAAGCACACATGTTAAAATTTATTGAAGCCTCTCCCTCCCTCCCTCCATCCCTCCCTCCCTCCATCCCTCCCTCCCTCCATCCCTCCCTCCCTCCATCCCTCCCTCCCTCCATCCCTCCCTCCCTCCATCCCTCCCTCCCTCCATCCCTCCCTCCCTCCATCCCTCCCTCCCTCCATCCCTCCCTCCCTCCATCCCTCCCTCCCTCCATCCCTCCCTCCCTCCATCCCTCCCTCCCTCCATCCCTCCCTCCCTCCATCCCTCCCTCCCTCCATCCCTCCCTCCCTCCATCCCTCCCTCCCTCCATCCCTCCCTCCCTCCATCCCTCCCTCCCTCCATCCCTCCCTCCCTCCATCCCTCCCTCCCTCCATCCCTCCCTCCCTCCATCCCTCCCTCCCTCCATCCCTCCCTCCCTCCATCCCTCCCTCCCTCCATCCCTCCCTCCCTCCATCCCTCCCTCCCTCCATCCCTCCCTCCCTCCATCCCTCCCTCCCTCCATCCCTCCCTCCCTCCATCCCTCCCTCCCTCCATCCCTCCCTCCCTCCATCCCTCCCTCCCTCCATCCCTCCCTCCCTCCATCCCTCCCTCCCTCCATCCCTCCCTCCCTCCATCCCTCCCTCCCTCCATCCCTCCCTCCCTCTCTCTCTCCCCCTCTCCCTCTCCCTCCCTTTCCCTCTCCCTCCCTCTCTCTCTCCCCCTCTCTCCCTCTCTCTCTCCCTCCCCCTCTTCCTCTCCCTCTCCCTCTCCCTCTCCCTCTCCCTCTCCCTCTCCCTCTCTCTCTCTATCTATCTATCTATCTATCTATCTATCTATCTATCTATCTATATATATATATATATAACAACAACAGATAGAATATCAACATATATATTATGTCTATTGCACAAGGGATAATCAGCCAAGCAATGTAACCAAGAACTCGATAAGCAGGAAGAATGCACATATATTCTAGACAGTTTGGTCAGCAGAGACTTCGCATTAGATTTTTCAACCTACATGTTGAAAATGTTCGGAATCACCACAACAATATCGAAATGCCTCTACATCCCCTTTGTTCTTCTCCAGAATCAAGATCTTTTATACACTTGAGAGTTGAGAATATCAAAAGGCTAGAGGATTATATTTCCACACATATTTTTTACATCTATTTTTAACATATAGCTAATTTTAATTTAAAAATACAAAACAACATGTGATAAAGTTGTTTTTCATTGCTTTTAAAGAAAAAAAAAATTATTAAAGTGCTGACAGGTAAAAGCTATTTTCAACAACCAAACAATTCATTTTTATCCCTTTTAGTTATGGAAGCTATTAAAGCAATTCTAGATAGATTTGAGTTCTCAGCAATGAATTTGCAGGTTAAGAGCTTCATATAGCTGACATCATTCCATACCCCATTTATGTTATGTATTCTTCAAAGAGACAGATGCACAACCGAAAAGATAGTAATACTTGATCAAATGCATAATGTCTTCTGTTGCAAATTCAAGATAAATATCAGTCTTCAGACAAAGATCACTCAAAAATTACCCTATGGATATAACTTAATAGCTTAACCTATTTTAGCATGCTAATAACCTTATTTTCCAGGTTACAAACTTAATGTTACCTCAATGGCTCAAAACCTATTTTCACCATTGGTGTATATAGATTGAATTCTTGATTAATAGGATCATTTGGTTAGTACTAATTCATGTATCCATAAAGAGTGTTTTCATTTCATTAAAATCATCTAATTATGTGACACACCACACATCTATAGCAGGCAAAACAAAGGCATACCTGAAATTGAGATTGAATCAAGTAAGATCCTAGCTTCCTGGAGGAGGGATCACCACGCTTACTTCCAGCTGAAAGTGAGAGACTTAATAATAGGCAAAAATACCCCACCAGCTCTTGCCGTAGTGCTAGACATTGCAGGTGCAATCAAAGCCTCACTCAGGGCCAATCCATATGACAAACCAATAGTACTCTTCCCCAACCACTTAACAAAGTATGTGGCAATTCGATCTCCTTTGTAGACTACAGTAAAAGACACATCATATGCACAAATTCAAATATAAGAATCTGAAAAATGGAGCAAAACATTACTAATTTGACGACGATAACAACAACATACCTAGTTTGATCCCACAAGTGGGATCTCATCAAGGTAGAATGTAGGTAGACCTTACCTTGATTTTTCAATAAACCTCAAAACTAAACCTCATCATTAACAAGAATGAATAATAATTAAAGATGCTAGATAAGCACTGGCCAATTCTTTGATCAGCACCAATTGGTGTAGCATAATGAGTCTTCACCCTTATCTCAGAGACTATGTCAACGCCATTTTTAGCTTGCTGGATTGATTGAAGCTTCTTTACCTCTTCTTTCAACTTGAATAAAAATGCCACATTATGAAGGATCGTCAAAAGAATCATCCAATGTGCCCATGTGTGCGATTGTGAAGTGTAGAAATCAGCAATTAGAAGAGATTTCATACGAAATAAAATAGAGTAGAGGGTGCAATACTTCGACAAGGAACTGGATATTTTTAAATAGCATGTGATTCTCATCCAAATAAGCTTCATTATCCAATTTACTGTGTTGTTTCTCCTGCAATCTGTCCAACAATCTAGCGGAACAAAATACATTGATCAAAATGACAAGGATTGGATGAGGTCAACAACTCTAAGGAGAAAACAATAGAAGTATATGGTTTAAAACTAAAAGACATCCTTTTAGTCGAGAAAAGACTCAGTCTTATTTAATAGTTGAAAAATTCCCTTCTAGTTAGCTAGTCAAACCTCATTGTTCATCAGAAATACTGAAGAGTATGCACATGCCCCTCCGTTATGTTTCCACTTAAATACTTTCCCCAACTTTGGGTCGACGTCAGAGTTGAAACTCGTGACATGAACGTCCCTCACTATAAATATACTCAAACATTAGCGAAAATTTGAATTCTAGAGGTTATTAGACTAATCCTAGTATTTATAAATCCTACTATACTTCTATTATCAAAGTGACTTTCTTTCATAGCACTAAAAGACATCAAAAACTTTCGCAGATTCACGCAATAATAAAAAGTAAAACGGAGGTATGGAAGAATTTACAAAAGTTTATAAGAACCAAATAAACAAACCTGTCAATTCGTGGCAAAATATTTTCGAATATGATATTTCCCTAAACGATGAACCCTGTTCAAGCAAAACAGGTTTTGGAAAATTACAATTAAGTAACAAAAGAAAGCCATCATGAATGAGTAAGATCCTATAGTACTAATATGCATTTACTGAAGTTAGTTCCTTTTTTTTCTCAAGTTTAATGTGAAAGACCAACTCAACACTTGGTCTCAAAATTGAATTGCACCTATTTAACTTCTTCATTAAACAATACTTTCTCACACTTTACTCCTTGAAAAGCAACTCAAGACATAATTCATAGACATTTTGGAACAATGTCCATGACTTCATTTTTATATTGATAAAAATGCTAAAATACACTCTTTAACATCACACACAAGGTAACTATTCATAAATTAGACTCTTGTAGCTTCCTTATGAACTTGAAATGGAATACCTGTACAATTATAAAGTAATGATTAGTTGTTAGTTACTTGTATTTGAAACAACAAAGATGCAAAAGACATAGACAACAAATATTTTCAAAGTGCAAAGTGAAGGAAAAAAGGGAGCAGGTTAACATTCGAGCAATATGTGTAAATAAACAGTTAAGCAAATCTAGTGAGCTACCAGATTTTTAACCCCCAAATTAGTGGATTCAACAAAGAGTCAAATTCTACAAATGTAGTAAATCAACCTAATCTGCCTAGAATTAGAAGAATCGAATTGGGGTCTTCTTTGGATGCAGAGAAATCTCAACGTAGAACCCAAAAAAAATAAAAAATAAAAATAATAGAGATAACCAAAAAATGATAATAAAAATACGATATAATAATTTACCTGATACAACACCACGACACACATAAAGAGCTCTAAAACTACTTGCTCTGTTTCTTCTTCATTGTCTACTGATTTCATGGTCAAGTCGATTTTTGAATGTCAAAACAAATTTTCGGAAGAATAGAGCCGGTCAACAAAATGAACCAAGAAACAAAAGGCTAATAGTGAAAATGAATACTTACCTTACCGTGCAACTTGAGTTTGCTCTTTCTGTCTACTAAAAGGTACATACTGCCATACGCGAGAGATGGATTAAACCTAAAGCACTGTTATGTGTCTATTCCAAATATCAAAAGAATCATATTTGGATTCAACAAATAACAAAAACAATAAAATTAAAATTAAAATTAAATCCCAAAAACATGCAAACACACAAATAATTTAAAATGTCATGTTATGGCATGGTATTGAAGTAGTTGAATTCTTAAGGCTACTTTTATGAGAAATTCTGTTGTATTTTTTTGAACTGCGAATTTTCCAACTGCAACAACAATAAGTCAGTGTAGTCTCACCTCTATCTTGTGGAGGTAAAGAGGCGATTTTCAATAGACCCTAAGAAATCTAAACATTGAAGCTCGGATTTGTAATACGATAAGAGAGATTGGAATCACCGCCATAACTGCAAGCACCGGTTGCAGGATAACCTTCCATCCGGGTTGCCCCACCAAGATACGGGTCCGATTGCTCTCTTACACTATCAATTTTCTCAATCTCGGAGAAAACAAAGAAGAAAATCATCATCACAACCTCGAATTTTTGCAACAACTATTCTAATTCTAATTCTAATAGTCAAGAGAGAAAAGAAAGAAGACAGAGATGACTTAAATGTTGGCTAGCAGGTGGAGCAATATTAATGGACACAAAGGACTTTAGGCTATTAAGTTGCCACATATAATATGGTTCAGTGACCAATTTGCCCTTAACCTTTTATAGAAGAAAGACACGTAGTTTTCATACATCAGCTTTTTCATAGACCTAAATGATTGAAATATCCTTATTTTTAAATTATTTGACATTAAGCTAACATGTTGAAACTTGAAAGTGTCTCTTTTATATAAGGAGAAAAGAAAAGACCATAAAGCTCAATTAGCAATGAAATGGAGCCCACTTGTAATTAAATTGCTGTTCGTACAACCAATTAGTGTTGTGTTCAATTTGGATAGCTTTCGGTACAATTTTTTAATGTTGTGTTCGTCCCAACAACTGTCATTTCTAAATATTGGTAAAATATTTGAAAGTAAATAAAATTAGTGTAGGTGTGAATAATCAGAGTAGGAGATTTGAAAGCCAGTCGAGCCAAAATTGAAAATTTATTTTTTAAAAAGCAAATAGTGAGATATTTGAAATTTTGTGAGAAAAAAATCAAGGGAAAGGGGTCAAAAATACCCCCCAACTTTGGTTTATTGTTTGACTTTACCCTCGCCGTTAAAATGAAGTTAATCGTACCCCTCCCGTTACTAATTTCACCAAAATTACCCCTCATTTAGACGGAATCCCCAAAATTGATCCAAATTGACCCAATTACCCGGATTTTAAAAGTAAATATGTGTCAGCCTAGAAAGGAAAATAACAAAGGCTCAATACGTGTTAACATTACCGGAAAAGTGGTACTATTCACCAATAAGACAATGACTTGACATCAAATTATGGTACAATAAATATTACTTTTTGTACAAGTATTTGTTGCTGTGTTTGGTCCCTTTTAGAAGTGCCACTTCTAAATAAGGGTAATATTATATGCCATTCTTCAATATTATATTGGGATGAAAATGGTACAATAGCTATCTAATTATTATATTGAAATTTTAATATCTCAATTTTGTTATTATATTTGTGATATTTGGTCGTGTGTTTGTTTCAGTTTGTTTCTCATGTTTTAATTTGATAGAAAGTTAAAAAGAAAGAGTAAAAGATTAAAAAAAAATTGAATTTTATGGTGTTAAATAAAGATATGTCAAATATATTTTAAAAAATAATTATGCGATCTAAAATATATCATGTAGAATATTAAAATTAAAGAGTGATAAAAAAAATCAAAGATTTTTTTTTAAACAGATTTAAAAAGAAAAATATGACCAACGAATTAAAATAGAAGAAGTATAATATTAAATTTCATTTTCTTTAATATTTGATACAGTATTTAATAGTTATATAAAAACACATATCATACTGAAGTATATATAATTGAACTTACATCTATAATATGTAAGGTGAATCGAATAAATAATTATATTGTAAAATATTAAAATCAAACTTAAATTAAATTATTGTGAATATAATTTTAAAAAATTAAAAATCAAAATCATCGAAATAAAATTTTCAATTACTTATGATGCGACCTCAGTATATACCACGTGGAGGAAGAAAAGTCAATTTTTCTTTAAGAAGTTACGCCGTAAGTGGCAACTGGCAACTTTGACAAAGTCCTCTCGTTAGATGAGAACTTTTACATTCATTTTTTTTAAAAAAAAAAAAAGAAATATCATAGTATGTTTTTAACGTAAGTAAAACTGTAAAAGTGATGAAAGAACATAAAATATAAGTATCTATTTTATGGTAAAATTATAAAAAGAAAACAGCTTATTGCCATTTTAAATGATTTAGTTTAGATATATTTTTATTCTAGTTTTTTTTACAGTATAAAATGATTACATTTGTAAGATGAGTCAACTTTAATTTACGGCTCCCACCAAATTTTAATAGGAAAAAGAAAAGAAATTTCATCAGATGCAACTTGCCTGACCCTTTTATCTAACACGTACGTTTCAGTTGACGTCCACCAACCAAATAAACAATTATAAAAAATTTAAAGGGACAAAATTCTCCACTATAAATATGTTGTTATCCTAATATCTTTTCATCATACAATAAATATCCCATTACTAAAATACTTCATCTCACTCCTTTCGCCTTAAACAACTATGGCTCCTGCTCTTCAACAATCTGAAGCAATAATTACCACCAACTCATCATCGGAAAACAACAACGTTACCATCACTGGAAAGATATACACACGAGTTCGTCTTGCTACGAAATCTGATCTATCTCATATATACCAATTGTTTTACCAAATCCATGAATATCATAACTATACTCATTTATACAAAGCTACTGAGTCCTCCTTAGCTAACTTGCTCTTTAAAGAAAACCCTCTTCCACTTTTCTACGGTCCATCCGTACTTCTACTCGAAGTCTCTCCAACCCCTTTTAACGAACCCAAAAATACCACGGACAAAGGGTTCAAGCCTGTCCTTACAACGTTCGACCTTAAATTCCCTGTCGTTGAAGGACAAGTTGAGGAGTTCAGGTCCAAATATGATGATAAGAGTGATGCTTACATAGCGGGATATGCTTTCTTTTACGCTAATTATTCATGCTTCTATGACAAGCCTGGATTTTATTTTGAGAGTCTTTACTTCAGAGAGAGTTATAGAAAGTTGGGAATGGGGAGTTTGTTGTTTGGAACAGTTGCATCTATTGCTGCAAACAATGGGTTCGTATCGGTAGAGGGAATAGTAGCAGTTTGGAACAAGAAATCATATGATTTTTACATAAATATGGGAGTTGAAATATTTGATGAGTTTAGGTATGGAAAATTGCACGGTGAAAATCTTCAAAAGTATGCCGATAAGAAGGAGAAAAATGAAGAAGGAAGTTGTTAGTGTGTTTTTCTTTTATATGTTGAAAGTTCAATTCATACATTTCTATTTGTAATCTTGTAAAAGCAGAATGCTCATTACATTTGTATTAATTCTAAATTGGTTATCATATATAACATAATCTCTGTGATTCATGATTTAATTTTATTTGGCACAAATATTATTTGGGAAATCACAGGGTTTTCTCCCTTGCCATATTAGATATGCATCTTTCCTCCATTCTTAGGCTTCGTTAGTTGTACTTATTTTTACGAGCTAATAACGGAAACCTCCAAACTTAGAAAAATAGCTATAGTATAATTTCTATTAATTAAAACCTATTGAAAAGTCCAAGGTTCGTTACGTAATGAATAATAATGTTCATACTCATCTATCAAGTGTATCCTTATCCAATTTAATTTGTTGATGTCATTTGCACCAATGTTTTTATTTTGGAGTGATATTTAATTATCTAATAATTTTGGAGTGATATTTCAGTAAATTATCTAATAATTATTAGGACATGTCGCCAATGATAGGCTTAGAATTCTCACACCAAAAATATAAAGGTAATAACTACCTCTAAATTTTATCGTCTATTATAAATTTTGTAACGAAAGTGAGTGTTGTGATTGGGAGAAAAAAAACAGATTGGACTATATCAAGACGGTATTATTATTTTCTTTTCAATTTAATAATGATGTTTAAATTTGAAGAGTCAAATAATTTATTCTTTAATCATATTTCATTTATTTTATTATCTTTTAAATTATTAATTATTGAGATGTAGAAAATAGTACTTAATTTATTTTATAAACTCCATGATTTACTTATTTACTTAATTAATTGGAGATGCAGCTAGCATTGTGGTATATTATATATTATTCTTCAGGGTAGATAGATATCAAATTACCATATTTGAAATAAAAGTTTTTAATACAAGAAATACGGTATTATGATTTTGGTATGTGCATTTTATTAATTTTGTAATTAATTAATAAGAAAATTATTTGTATTTTCTTTTGAACATTTTTATATGTTTAGCCATTTAAGTTAGTAGTATGATATAGTTAAAGGTGTTCTTTTAAAAATCAAAGACATAATTATCTATTATATATTAATATCGAAATTGAACTTTAAACTATCAAATTATACCAAATTAATGTGGAATAGGAATAATATAATATTTCTAAAAATCGAAAACCCAAATTAGGGGAAGGAATTGGGGCCAGAAAATCTTTTCGTAGTAATTTGAGATTTTCTAGTCTAGTCCAGATTTGGACGAAATCAGAGTCAATGAGGTCTAGGGAAATCTGGTAGCAAATGAAAGGTCCAATTGTGAATTTGATCTTATGAGTAGATAGCTAAGACGTTAAGGAATCTGTACGACTTTACGGAATTGAATTCGGGCTAGTAGAACTTCCGAAAATGGTCTTAGCACGAGCGGGTATTTTATGAGAGTTGTGGGATGAAGGTGTGTTGTGAAAAGGGGGTTTTGAAACTCTTAAAATTGCTCATTGTTCCGTGCAAGCCGCTGAGGTGGGATTTTCCCACCAGCACGGAGCCGCTGTGGCGGGACTTGGGCCACCATAGCAGGACAGACGTGACTTAAGTCGGAAATAAACCCCAAAAATGTTTTATTCTGCACTTTTCGACTTTGAGAGCAAAGGAACGACCCCAGGTGTTTTCTTGAGCGTTTTCCACCATTCTTGAGGCTAAAGGTAAGGTTTTCACTCCCCGAATCCGTATTTCGATCCGTAGAACGTAGTTTCTTGGGTAATTATTGTTGGGGGAAGGTTTTGATCTGAGAATTATGGTGGAAAAAGCCCTAATTTGGGATATTGGGATCGGGTTTGGTCTTGGGTTATTGAGTTTGTTATAATCCGGATAATTATACCTTTGATTGTTGATCCTTTTGTATATTAATTGTTGTAGACCTAGAATAAGTGTAAAAGAATCCGGAAAGGGAAGATTCAAGTGACTTAGGGGATTCAATCTTGGATTCGAGGTAGGTGATGGTTGTGATTTCATGTTGTGTGATGTATGTTTGCTCTTGCTTCATTATAATACATGTATGTATGTGAATGTTGCATTATTCATCACACTAATTATAAATGAGGATAGATGAATGATGAATGTCATGAATCATGACTTGATTGTATGATTTGAGAATATACTTGTGATTATGATTGTGGCTAGTTGAATGGATCGAGTGTTGCGTTCCGACACACTAACTTGGATCGGTTGCCACGTTCCGGCATAAATATGGGATCGAT